TACTTGCATTTAGTATGTATTCTTCAAGACTGTTGGCAAACTGTTCGGCGGGACTCTCTTGTTAAGAAACAGATCAAAGTTTGACCTCATGTACTATTTATTGGACCGGGCCAAGTTCTTATCATGTGACTTTCGAGACGACCTGTACGAGTACTTGCGTCTTTGGCAGTTTTTAATTGTTAATAAAATTTACGAAGTTTGTGGAAGCCATCTGACTTGTTTATCGCTATCTGTAGACCGCATACTTATGCCTTGGGCATGCTTCTCTCATAGTTATCAAATTCCAACCAAACTTTGTCCGTTCAACTCAACCTTTGGACCATTCTTACCAATAATGTTTCTCCACCTTCACTTCTGCTGCGAGATTATTGTTTTCCATTCACTCAAGGCGTCTGGAGGTCAGGTCTTTTAGGTTCCACCATGTGTCGTATGTTACTGAGAGTTATGGACACAACCCCTAAGAAACCGAGTTTTGCATGTCTGTGGGTCATAGGATAGCTGTTCTTAACTAATGAATGAATGGTCGTTGTAAGTATTTTATTTATACGGTTTAAGTAGCATGGATTTGGCATACAAGTTTGGAGTGGGACGGTAATTGCTTTTTGCCTCTATTTCTGATTCAACGCGTGGAAGTAGTACGAAGGACATGTTCTTTTTAAAGAGCCGTAGCGTCTGCGCCGCCATCACTTCCACGAAAGGATCACCTAATCATTTATCTACACATGAAATATCTTTGCCCGCATCTTTATCTAGGGTTCTCAGAAGCAAAGAGGCAAGTGTCGTCCAAGCACTTCATCAAATTACGGTCATTTTTAGATTTGTTTTATTTGATAAATCACAATAAGGTCCCTCTTTACTATGTACACCACAAAGGGGTTGGTCCGAGTTGCATTTGTCTTCGGGTGACATCAGTTCTAGACCTTTACATTGCGTTGCATCGAGATTCTCCCTGTAATTCTCAAGCCCTGGCATCTTAGGCATCCACGCTATTTGCCAGTTAAGATCTAGCGAAAGAACCGTAGCTTCAACTAACATGTTTTAATCGGGTGCTTTATTCGTTTTTCTGATAAATATAGTGTTCCTATTGGACTTTTAGAAGACGGTGGACAAGCAACGGTTACAGCATGTTCGGGGTCCAAACACAAGTCTGCTTGCAAGGTCGCTACAAGCACCTGAGTGCCCTTTGGGGAGAATACCCTTATGCCGTTAACAAGGTGGCAACTAGTTGACTGCAGGTGGAGAACGTTG